ATATTATTTAAGAAATAAAAGATGTTTACTGTGCTTGCACAGGCTTATGCAAACCAATGAGACCTTTAGAAGAACTCGAGAGCAGATCACTGCAAGCCCAGACTGAAGGTAGAGGGTTGCACATGCTCGAGCGTTCTCACAAACGTCTCGGAGGTTTGCATAAGCCAGTGCAACCACGAAAATCATCTTTTATTTCTTTTATAAAATAACAATAATGCAAAAAAGACAGACATTTTAAATTTTCCTCTAAAATGTATCTATGATCGATTTGGCAATTCTTTTTGACTGATTGATTGTTTAGATTGATTTGATTGGTTGAGCTCAGATATGTTTTGCACTGGCTAATGCAAACTCAGCCCTAGACTAATCAGCGCACGCCTTTCATTGTGTTTATTTTACAATGTTTTAGATTAAACAGTGCTTAAATGATTGGTAGTAAATGGCGTTTTTCTTTAATTTTTGCAATCACACATTCATTTCATTACAAATGAAATCTATTACTTTTGCAATGAGAGATTGGAGAAAAAGGATCAAATGAAGTGCCTGCATTTTCATTGTTTTCTATATACATGTAAATAACTTTTCCCTACAATGTAAATACAATGTTGAAAAAATAGCAAGGAAGGCTCATTGATATGTACGTTGTATAGCACATGTTATTATATATCTAGCGCATATGTTATATATTATTATGAAACTCGAAGCCTATATAAAGGAAAGCGATACAATACCCTAATATAACATTGAAATGTTATTTCATTGCATTCTTAAATAATGTTTTACTCTAAGTATAATCATCTACTCTTTGTAAAATTATTTATTGGTCAAACTTTTAACATTTCCACTGACATTTTATGAAGTCATGCTCACCTGACAAATGTTAGCGCGTTAACAATAGCAACACCTACCTCCACCGCAGGGACAATGCCCATACTGACTTCTATCTGCATGAATACGGATTTACCACGTGCTGCAAACCCCATATCACATGCAAGCATGAACTTATGACCTCCTCCTCCAGCCATACCCTCGACTTTGGCAATGGTTGCCTGAGGAAAATCACTGATTCGTTGCAACACTTCCTGTAGGTCTAAGAGTGGCTCAAAGAGACGTCTTGCCGCCGCTGGAATGTCCACCAGCATGTGCATATCTACATGACACACAAAGATTTCTGTATGAGCCGATTGGAACACAACCTTCGCGGTACGGTCTTTCTCGAGCAATTCAGCTAACCAATTGAAATCATCGAGCATCGGTTTTATTTGGACGTTAACTTGAGGAAAGTGAAAGTCACCCAAGAAACTCCTTCTTTTACTTTTACATTAAACGTCTTAAATCCTTCTTACGCCATTTTCAAAATACCTTTGAGATGGAATGTACAAGTAAGAATTAGTGAGAAAATTGTTGGTGTCGACAGCCTGCCAAGTCTGGTCGAGCTATATTTAAATTCGTATACTATATAATCAAGCTTCTTCTAAAATGATAGAAGATAGTGATAACATCTTCTTTGCTTATTGATATGGATTATTCATTGCATCTCAACTTTTTACAAGCTTCTCTACAAATGACAACTGGAGCAAGTGGTCAGCGTTTTTTCAAAGTGGTGGTGATTCATTATTTTCATAATTTGCAGAATACCTGCACACTTATTACGTTGCACGATGTATGAACAATGCTTCCATTATGTTACGTAAAAGCTAGAAGAGCATGATTGGTAGTGTATGGGAACAGGGGAAGTTTTATGAAGATTTCCTAACCTTTTTCTAAAAACAGATGAATTGAACTTAATCTACGTGAATTAAAGCCACATTTATTTATATTTCATTTCATGCTCATACAAGTTGTTAAGGCAAACCTTATACAAAATGCGGTGAAGCTAGCCGTAATTTTTGTCTTCCTGCACAAATTTTTCGCACAAAATTATAAGGAATTTGTCAAGAAATTCTTCCAGTCAATTACTAAAAAATATTTGCAGTACATTAATTCAACATTTCAATATAAATTCGATTAATACAATGCACTATTCATATTCAAAAGCATTTTTTCGCGAAATGTTTTTCCCTGCCACGCAACTGTATTAAAGAAATTTTAATGCTTTCTAAATAGTGTGCAAACAGCGATTGCAGTCTCAAAGAGCTGGTTCTATGGAATGCCAGAGCTGTCTTATGCCATAAAACTTTGTTACGTCTTGTTGATTTATCATTATATGCGGTCCATTCGTCATTATATGCAGTGATCGTTTCATTGTATGCGGTCCGCCATCATTATTTGTAGTGATACTTTTGTTATATGCAGTCCATCTGTCATTATATGCGTTCCATTCCTCATTATATGCAGTGATATTTTTATTATTTGCGGTCCATTTGTCATTATATGTAATGCACTTTTCATTATACCTTAACTTATTATGTGGTTATTTTGGTATGTTGTTAATTCATTATGTGGTTATTTTGTTATGTAGTAATTTCGTTATGTGGTTATTTCGTTATGTAGGAATTTCGTTATGTGGTAATTTCGTTATGTGGTTACTTCGTTATGAGCTTATTTCGTTATGTGGTAATTTCGTTATGTGTTTAATTCATTATGTGGTTATTTTTATTTCTTCGTTATGTGATGTCTATGCGGCCATGGACTGCCAACATTTTTTGTTTGGCAGATCGACTGCAAAGTAGCATTCCCTCTACGATAACAAAGCACACTCTTTACAACGCAGAGCTAGGACTGAAAAAGATCAAATTTCAGCTTACTGACAATGAAGAACAAGTAGCAGAAAAAATATGTCTGAAGAGAGCTGTCTGATGGGGGAGACTATCGGATTTCCTCTACTTCGGGATGGTGGTGGTTTCGAGATACTCCACTGCGAATCAAATTGCCGGCACTTGACCATGATAAAATGTCAGTGGTCGGTCAAACAACTTAAAGCAAACTTTGGCAGTCAATCTAAGATCTATGTAAGACCAATACAAAAAGGTCTTTCAACAAAACCTCTCAAACCAGAACCTGTGCTTATTGTTAAACAAGTGTGCCATGGATGTAACAAAGACTTTCTCATGAATGAGTTACGGTCTCACTTGTATACTTGTACCGCTGGACTTTCTAGCTCATCTGAATCCAATACAGTAGATGCTAGTAGTAATACTGTTTTGCCTAGAAGAAGTCAAGAACCGAACATTAGCAGCACAAATCATCTACCTGATGATGTACAAATGAGTTTAAGTAAATCAAATGCAAGCAATATCATCATGCAAGAAAAATAGATTTGACTAGGGTTTACTTGAAAGATGGTGACAATGGATGAAATTAATGGATTAGAAGACATATTTTTTACTTTAGAAGTCCAATTTTATGAAGAGATAATCCCAAAATTGTTGCAATTCTACAGTTGCTGGATGCAGTTAATTGATATTGTGGTGATTTATTAGTTTTACTTCATTTTTATGTTCTTTAAATTCTAGCTAGCACAAGATCGAGGAGGTCCAAGAAAAGAATTTTTCCGTTTGATTGGTTATTAATAATAATAACGTATTATTTCTATTGAATAACCTAACATAGATTAAAAGACAATTTGCATGAAAAATATTGCTAGTTTGGACAACTGGCTTTAGTGATAGTGGCAAAGCCCGCAGTAAAACAGTGGCATACCCAGCTGGATAATTGGGGGTGGGGGAAATATTTGCATGTTCATGTTCTACTGTATTAAATTCATTTGAAATCAATTTTCTTTTGCGGATGATAACATGCTTAAATGAATACTGCTCCCTCCAAATCATCAAGCCTAGATACACCACCACTGCAATAAAACAGGAAAGAGCACTAGATATGTACACATACGCCTTCATTTAATACATTTAAAAGTGTTTATTTCAAGGATGACAAAATTTCTAAACTTTCTGGAACATAAATGCCAAAGTCCTTGTCTTCAAAGAAGAATTTAGTTTGTTATCAAATGTATTTTGTCACCTCCTTTGTACATAGTATCTTGCTTTCTTTTAGCTCTCTCGGTGGTGGGGGTCAGCGGCAACACCTTAACCCTCGACCAGCTAAAAGCAAAAATTGGTCTTCATTCATCCAAAAAAATCTTGGACTCGTGACTTTTGCCTTTTAACTGAAAGTAATCAAAACAGAATGGGGCATTTGAATTTATGTGTGGAGAAGGTGGTGGATATTCACTGCCTCTTTGCCTGATTCCTACCCCATCATATGGATACAATGTCCCATACAATAAGGATATGGTTGGTTCCAACAACAGAATTACATACGCCCAATGAAACAGTCATTGCCTGTTGAAAAAGCTGATTGGCAAGAAGTGTTAATGGTTAGCCCATCGCGACTCCGTCGATTTGGTCAAAAAATTGTACGTTAAAATAGGAAATGAGTTTGTGAGGTGGCAATGAAAAAAGTTGTTTTAGGTCTTGTTTTTTAATGATAATGTCGGGCTGGTGTGAATAAATAAGATCTAATGCAATGTCTATGGTTTCGGATAAAGGGATGTTTGTGAAAAGACTTTGGACGTCAAAAAAAACACGAAGTAGTTGCTGTTGCTGTGGTTTTGGGTGTGTAGTTCGTTAACAAAAGTAAAAGAGTCTGATGTAGTGTAATCATTGGGTATGACAGGGTTAAGTAGAGTGCATAAGTACTTGTAGAGATTAAAGTTATATGAGTTGGTGGACGACACTATAAGTCGAATGGGAGGGGAATTATAGTTTTCTCTATGATTATGAAGTTTGAGGAGACCATAAAATCGAACTGCTTGTGAGCCTCTAGGGAAAACTGAAGAGTATATATGGTTGTCTATTCGCCGTTTCGGAAATGGTAATTACACTGCGAAGACTAGTGACTAGTTGACAACGCACGTTGCATTGTGGTATATTTGAGGGGACGCTTTGCTTTACTAGCTCGTAAACAACTTTGTTTTTTACCTGGGGAATTTATTTCGGTATCATTGTTAGCAAAATACTGAATAGTTGGAGTTGATTTCTGACTGTAAAATAATAAATATAATGGATGAACAGCATAATTGCGCTGAAAAAGATCGAGTTTGCCTTCATTCTGACTGTGACATTGTATTAACTGAGGATGACATACCTGGTACCAAGCTCTATAAGCCAGTCGAACAGTGCTCGATGGCAATATTAAAGAGATGGCTTTCGTGTCGTGGAGCTAATATTACTGGGAAAAAGCTTGAGCTTGTGAACAGGTATGTGGATTTTTTTTATCAATTATCAAATTATGTGCGACTGTGCAACCTCTCAAACGTCTTAAAATAATTGCTTATTAATGTATCTTTTCAGAGTAAAGAATTACATTAACAATGGATTGGATGGACAAGTTGTTGACCCTGACAGTGGAAAGAACTATCGAAAAAAAAGGATCACTCTAAGTACTCCTCAGACGACACCAGATGAAGCATTTCCCATGTCTGGATTCCAAACAGATCTTTCAATTTTACCAAGGGTGAGGTATGCCAACATTTGGAAGTTTCTGATAGATGATGTTGAAGTTAAAAAGCAAGTATCTACTGAAAAACCTCTCGTGAAAGGTTATAATTTCTTCAAGTCTGGCAATGTTCAACATGTTCTATCACAAACAAGAAATGGTTTATATTTTATAAAAAGCAAAGTGCTACCTTCCATGAAAAAAGATAGTTATATAGTCAAAATAACAATGAATGAAAGATCTCTTGTGCAAAAAGCTTTCTGTGATTGCCCTGCTGGAATTGATGGACGCTGCAATCATGTAGCTGCTACATTGTTCTTGCTGGAATCTCTAGATTGTTCTTTAAATAAAGTAAACAATTTCGGCTTGCAAAATTCTGTTACTCCTTGCACTTCAAAGCCTTGCACTTGGAATATTCCTAAAAGAGCAGCTAAAGCTTCCACAATACAGGACATGAAGTTTATAAAGCATAGTTATAACAAGGAAAAATTCAAATCTGCTGAGCACATCTTAATCAAAAAAATTCCAGAGAAACAAAAACCATCAAATGAGGATCTACATTCTTTTTACAAGAAAATAAAGATTCTGGAAGCTGAAACAGGAATGAAGACTGGTTTGAGCTTCATTATTCCAAAGCCAAATGATGAAAATAACTTTGGGACTTCTGAAACTTCTGACTACAATCCTTCATATAGTGCTCATTTAGATGGTACAAGTATGCAGCTGGTTTCTCCAAACAAATATCTACCAATGTCACTAAATGAAATAAAAGCCAGGAGTGAAAGGGTTAAGAAAAGGTTGCTAGCATCAGTGAGTGACCGCGATCGCATAATGGAACTTACTGTCAATCAACATGAGTCAAAACTTTGGTATGATGTTAGACAACCTCGTATTATAGCATCAAAAGTCAAAAGAGGCTTAATAAAACCAACAATAAGTCCTACCAACACCAATAACTACCATACACCAATTCAAACTAAAGCAATGAAGGATGGAATTGAATCAGAAGCTGGCATACTTAAAAAATATGAATTAATTTCTGGAAATACTGTTAGGAAGGTGTGATTTATCATTTCCTCTACTCATCCTTTTCTTGGGGCATCACCTGATGGAATTACAAATGACAACGTACTACTAGAAATCAAAAAGGTCACCGCCAAAGAGAATGAATCTTTCATGGATACATTGTGCAGGTTGTACATTTATAAGAAAAAAAATGGGAAACTTTGCATAAATAATAATCATAAGTATTATTACCAAATGCAACAACAATTGTTTTGTGCTGGTGGAAAAGTGTGTCATTTTGTTGTTTCTAATGGTATTTGGGTTCACATTGATGAAATTTGTTTTGATGAAGTGTTTTGGAATAAGACTCTTCCTAGATTACAGCAATTTTATTATAACCATGTTTTTCCAGAACTTGTATATCCCAATATAAAATTTAATTGTGAAAGGTGGGGCAAAATTGTTCAATTCCCAGCCCAATTGTAATATAAAAGTTGTATTAAATATATTAATTTGTAAGTAATGATCATAAATGTTCAAATTTTGTAATTTTACCATCCTATACACAGAGTTCTATTTACAATAATACAGACCGCAGCATTTCATTTTGTCCAAATCTGATACATTGTGTCAATATTCAACTACCCTAAAAATAATTATGTTATTAAAGGCGGCCAGAAATTTGATATACAAACTACTACAATCCATATGTCTGAGGCTATATTCGCAAGAGAAACGGGCATTGAGCGATCAAATATATGCCAGTTTTTTAATCTTTCCATGCACCTTTCTACATGAATTCGTAAACATGCTATTTTCTTGTTATGTTTGCTTTCTTCTGCAGTAAATTGAGATTTTCTTTTGAGAAAATGAGGTATAACAAGTGATGCACCAATTTCTGCTAGTTCATCTTGTATTAAAAACCCTTTATCAGCCATAACAGCATCACCATAATTTAATTTTTCAAGATAACCAGATCTTTTTATTATTTCAGGATCACTAATTGAACCTGAGAAAAGGTCACTGGCAAATGACACAACACCATTTGGTGTAATTCCCACCAAAGCTTTCATTGTGGAGTGAGATTTGTAGCTTGAATAGCAGGCTGCCTTATTGTTCAGGCTGGAGGGTGATTCCATTGTAATTTCAGTGCAGTCAATTATTGACACAACATCAGGACATAGTTGCTGGAATTGCAAAGGCATAACTGACTGAATGAGTTGTTTGCTAGGCCATTGAATACATAATGGCTCAAGCTCTTGTCTCATGAATCTTAACCAACTTCGCACAATGACAGAAACAGTGGAAACAGCAACCCTAAAACGATGAGCAAGATCTTTTTCTAGTAATCCAAGTCTAAGCCTTAAGAGTACCATAGTGAATTCCTGCCACTTTGTTAACTTTCGTTGATGGCCAATTGCTCGCCCAGAATTTGATGTATTGCTGTTTGTTTGAAAAACTCTATAATGAATTTTGTGTGTTTTGTCTTTCAATAGGTCAAAGCACATTAGGACATGGCTATAGGTAGGAAAGCAAGTATAAAAAGCAATGTTGTCATTGGACATTTTATAATTATCAAGGTCAAATTGAGGCTCGTTGTTTAATTTAAATGTGAGCACCTGCACTTGTTCTTTCAATTGTTTCACTTCCTTTTCTAAGACAGATATATTCCTGTTCTTTTGACGAATCTCTGCCCCTCTGGACTTCAACTTTCCAATCTCTTCACGTAGAGATAAAACATATCTCCCGTTTTGTTGGAATACTTTCCCAACATTCTGTATGCACAAAAACTGAAGACTTTTAGGATTTGTAATACACGGGTTTCCATGACTTTCATCATTTTTTTCAGAAGATCACCTTTGAACATTGCCAATTTCAACATTGCAATTGGAATGATGGCAACCACTATCTTCCGTGTGTCTTTTGCGCTTTCGTTCATGAAAATAAATATCATTTTTTACAATGTCCCTTCTTGTAGCAAGTTTCTTCCTTCGTCCATGGAAACAGTGATGGCAACTGGTTTGTAAAAGATCTTGCTCCTCCAGGAAAATGTGCACCGCAAATTCTCGTACTAGAAGACAGCAACTTTCAGGGGCGGATCAAGCTTCTGGGCTGACCGTGGCCCTGTGACGTAGCGAGCGCCTTCGGCGCGAGCCAACGCTAGGGGGGTCTGGGGGGCATGCTCCCCCAGAAAATTTTTAAATCTAGACTCTCGGAAAAGCGAATTCCGGCATTTTTAATGTAGAATATAACAATATATAAGTGATAATCTCATCTAAAAAAAATTCTAATATCGCCATTTTTTAATTCTGTTCGGATAGAAGAATAAAAATTTTACTTACCTTGTGATGTCTGATGTAAAATCAACGCAGTTTCCGTACTTTTCTGTAATCACAGGATTGTTGCCACAGGAGTGAGAGAAAGATGAAGCATGTTATTTTTGCAGTGAATAACCAAAAGACAGTTCACTACAAAAGAAAAATTCCCCATCTTTGTTGCCCCATCAAATGGTCTTTTTCGAAAAGCAGCGGGGATGCCTTTTGTAACAGCCATAAAGATGGCAAGACTAATAAAAGCAATGTTCAAAGGTGGTCTTCTTCCAACAACAGCAAAGATGTTTATCCAACAATCGTAAAGATTGCAAGATTAATTAAAGCAATGTTCAAAGGCGGTCTTCTTCCAACAGCGACAAAGATGTTTATCCAACAACCGTAAAGATGGCAAGATTAATAAAAGCAATGTTCAAAGGTGATCTTCTTCCAACAGCAGCAAAGATTTTTATCCAACAATTGTAAAGATGGCAAGATTAATAAAAGCAATGTTCAAAGGTGGTCCTCTAAAAACAAAGTAACAAAATGATTTTTGGTGGATGGGATTTTTTGATCTGCCAAATAAGAAGGTGGCATCGCAGCACAACAAAAGATATGGACATAGTCAATTGCACTCCCATCAACAAAATGTCTTGGATATATTGTACAATTGAACATTTTAGCCAACGAATCCCAATTTTCTTTCACTTCAGCATCATTAGTAATTGGGTAGTATGACTGAATAGCACACTGGATTACTATGGGCAAAGCAAACATACACATCAAGGATGAAAAGGTGTAATTATTTGCTGTTTCCACTGCTTCTTGTAAAACTGCTGCAATTTCATTCGCATTTTCTAAAGAGGTTAGAGCTGCATCGGATATACACATGGCAAAGGCATTTTTAAGTGAAGTGAACGCACCATTTTTATGCTGGGACTCGATGACAGGATGGGTAGAATAGTATTTTGCATTTTCAAACATTTCAACACTAGTTAGGAATCTCAAGTAAATAGAGAGAGTCTCATTCCCAACTAATGCAATAGAACATGCATTGAACAGACAATTCCCATTGGCTAAAGTACTAAAAGAAAAATTAGTATTTAAGTATTAATGGCTGCTTTGTTATTCCAAGCTATACCTGGAAACAAATTTGCTAGACTGACTCTGACATTAGAATAAATAAGGGTAACCAATACAGTTAAAGATAGACTAATAATATTGAAATTGAGAAAGTTATTTTGTCTTTGTGTTACTTTGGTAACATCATGATAAAGTCAAAGTCACAGGCAGGTAGTCTAAGATTTGGAACTAGTCTAGGCATGTCGAACAGGATTCAGACGACTTATTGATTCCATCTGCTATAGCATCAATATTCTATATAACCCGTGAAAGAAAGTAACAGTTATTCAAAATGATATGTTAGTTTCTTTAACCAGGGGATAACATAAAATGCCAGGAATACAAGGATAATACATTATTGATTGGGTTAAATTTTAAAAAGGACTAGCTTTGACTAATATTGAAGTAAAACATTTTTTTTAACAGACAGTAACAATTAAAATTATTTAGGCCGTACATTAGACAGACTGAGTATGCAAAATAATGACAGCTTTAGACATATATTTTACATAATACACTAAATATGAATAGCTGAAAATGAACGGATTGATCATATATTTCAGGCCAAGATGTCAAACGTAAATAGAAATATAAATTAATACCCCAATACATGTAAATTCTTACCTAACAGGGACATTGGGTCCTGATCTTTCAATTTGGCTTTCAGGGAACTGCATTTTTGAAAATAAACAAGTTCGTAGCATAATATCGCCAGTAGAATTTATACGACGAAGCCTTTCCTCGTTGATTATTTTAATACAGTGTTGTCTCAAGTTAGACAATTCACCAGAAATAATTTTGCAAGCGTTCTCTTGCTGAAAGGTTTGGACGAGCTTTTCAAGAACATCGATCTTTTCAGAAGTTTCCATTGATCCTAATCGCTGAGTAGAACTAGAAGTAGCGTTTTTTCAAGTCGACAAGAACCGAGCTATTGCATATGACTTGTATTTATTGCGCAATCAAAATACATTCACCGTGGCTCACCGTGGCGCACATGACCAAAACGTTCCCTGTGATTGGCTTGCAACGCTGCACCGTGGCTGAAGGTTACTATATTTAGCAACTATTGCGAAATTTTTTGAACGCTGACCGTGGCTCTTCATTCTGAGATTGCAGGTTCGAATTTACAAACATATTCCGAGCATATTCATGGCGTATTCGGCAAGATTCGAGACGCTTTCGGTGATTTTACAGTTCAGAGTTTAATTGGATGATAATACTATTTTAACAAGACGTTTAATTTGAAGTTTTTGTTCTGTTAACACAAATTTTTGACAAAAAATTACAATATTTATTCAATTTTTGCTTTTGATCGAATTTTGCTGTATTTGAGCAAAATTTTTAATCATGAAAAAGTCAACCCTGGAAAAACTTAAGTGGCAGAATTCTGACCGTGGCTCAAGCCACTTTCGCCATGGCCTAGATCCGCCCCTGACTTTAAGTTGTCGTTCTTGATCAAGATGTCGTACTGTTTCCGAATATTGTGATCGGTTGGAATTCGATGAAACGACAGAGAAGGAGAATTACGCCAGTTGTTATTACAACCAGGTACGCAACAATTCCACTTTCCCATATCAAAAAAGAGGTTTGTTTTATAATTACAGCTATAATTAAATGCCTTACTCGATTATTTATGTGTACTGTAGTTGTTTACGAGCTAGTAAAGCAAAGCTTCCCCTCAAATATACCACAATGCAACGTGCGTTGTCGTCTAGTCACTAGTCTTCGCAGTGTAATTACCATTTCCGAAACGGCGAATAGAGCCTTGTTTTTTGAGATTCCGAGAAAGCGTTGCAGTCTGCCTTTCTCTGAGTAGAGTGGAGTCATTATCTAATGGTTTAAATTTAGGTTTGTTGTTAATTATATTTAAGCATGCATTATTATATACCTTTTGTCCATAATAACTACTCAATTTCCTTTGTCTGGTTTCAGTAGAATGATGTCCTTGTTGTTTTTAATGTTCTTTAAGATGCGGTGTTTTTTGAGATCAGATAGTGAAGGACGGTATGATGAGGTGTAACTTTGTGCGATGTGTATGAGTTTGTTCTTGATATGATTATAATCGTCATTGTTTTTCAGCTTGTTAGTGTTGGTGTAGTAGATTCGTTCGAATGTGGAGAGGATGTCGTCGTGGTTAAGTTTCGGAGGCTTAATGGAGTAATAGAGTCAATTCTTTAGGAGATCAAGCTCTTCAGGTTTGAATGTGTGCGAGGATAGGTTAGTTACGGTTTCTTTATGTGTGAAGGGAAGTGTCTTGTTTCTTGTAAGGTTTCTCAGTTTCTTGTGGTGGTTGTGTAGAAGGTTATTGATTTTCTTGTCGACGTTTTTGGTTAAAGCTTTGTTGAGGATATAAAAGTCATTGAGATTTAAAGCAGTTTTTTAGCAGTTAACTTTTCCAATGTTCAGAAATCAGCTAAGGAAACCTTTCCTTCATATTTCTGTGCCAAGTCGTAAATAACGTTTCCATTATTTTGGACGACAAATTTCTTTATAGCAAACATGTTTTGGCATACTTTATGCCATCTTCAGTGCGAAGTGAATAAATATAGGAAGTGCACATAGTCAAATGACCTGTAAATAGCAATTACTACTTTAGCAGATATTATTCATTTTCTTTGTAATTTTTTTTCTTTGATAAAACCTAACACAAACATTTTATAACACCTCATTCAACTGTAAATAATTATTCATAACTATTCGATGCTTCCGCTTTATCACTATAACATATTATCATGTAAACTTCTTATATTTTTTCACTTCGCACTGAAGATGGCATAAAGTATGCCGAAACATGTTTGCTATAAAGAAATTTGTCGTCTATTTTTAGAAATTTGTTGTTTGTAAGTAAAATTATTGAAGTTTTTATATCTTAAGTGGAAACACCATACTATATTTTTATATTAGTAAACATAAACATTAAGATAAAGTTTTGTTAATTTAAATTG